TGATGGGGGTTCATTGCAGTCACTCACCCTGGAGTGACAGAACTTTTGCTGTCAATGAGTCTGTTTGCCACCCATGCTTTCCATTGTTTTCTGTCTTGTGTATTCTCTTCTCTTTTTTCGAATAGGGGCGGGGGCACTCCGAAGGATGCTCTCAACAGTGCCCTGGCAGATCAGTGCCCAGACCCAGTGGCACTTGGAGCCACCAGTGTCACCCAAGCAGTGTTTGGGTGTATTTTCTTGCTTTACCTGCTAAATATTCCCTTTCTGATTCTTCTTACTGAAGTGCTGATTCTGGTTTGTTGGGAATGTTGTCTCTCTTGGTTTTGTGATCTAGTTTTTCTTTTGTCATATAAAGGACACTGAAGATTTTTTTCCAGACCCTATGCCTCTACCACTGCTGTCATCTTCTTCAGTGTCTTAACATACTGTGATGTAGGGAACTTCCAGGGTTAGGTTCCAGATGTCAAAATCATCATGGCAATAGTTTGCTATACATTTCAGCAAGATTTATTATGTACACAGATGGGGATTTCTGAGACAGGGACAGAGCACAGCTTTCTGGGAAGTGGCACAGAAACAGAAAATGCATGCAGGTGCACATGTGTTGTGAAAAGGATAAGTCCAGTTGGTACAGATTTTGAAAGGACCACTTGCCAAGCTTGAAGTCAGAGGTCATGAGTGTGTTCAGGTAAGTGGGGTGGGCTCTGAAAGAAGCAGAGAAAAGGCCAGGCACAGGAAGGAGACCCTGCTCTGAGGTTGTTAGTATAAATTAAAGCAACACCAGGGCCTCAGTTTCTCCCCTTCCGTCTCCCATGATACAGATCTGTTTTTAAGTGCCTGTTATTATTGTAACATGCCATTGATCCAGCCTGCTGATTTTGTTGTCAGTATACATGGCCAACGACTCTTTGAAATAATTCGTTTCCAGGGAGAAATCAAGAGGTAGCCTACTGAGTGAGTAATCACAAGTAGAGAGAAGAAAGGTCAGGACTATGTATAGTTATTTCCACTATTAGGAATAAGTTACCGTTGCTGAACAAATAGGTAAATCACCAGACTATGAAAAAAAATGAATGATGGCTTTCTTTTTGTTTTTCTTACTGTTCTGTTAATTGCAGATTTAAGATACCTAATTTATCTAGCATTTACAGAGTGTTTAGTTTGTCTACCTAATTTGTGCACATTGTGTTATATGAAATCTGGGACGATAAGCCAGCTTGGCTTTAAAAAGTTATTGACATTAAGGACTTCTATTGATTTAAAAACTACTATGTGTAATGTTCAATTTGCAAATTGAACATCTTATTTATAAATAACAATCTTAACTTATAAATCTCAGAAATAATAAATTCTTAAAAATGCTATCCCAGAGCCAGAGCAATAGAACAGTGGGTAGGGTGCTTGCCTTGTATGTGTGACACAAAAAACAAAACTGTAAGATACATATGTGTGTATACTAAAATTGAGGAATTGTTTTGTGTGTTTATTAAGCATCCAGTATAGTGCTAAATGCTTTTACATGTATTGTCAGTTACTCTTTACAGTAATTCTGTGAGATTAGATTATTGCCTTTTATGTACAAATGGGAAAAACAAAGCTTGAAAAAAATCATGTAAGTAACTGTGCCTATCATTTGAACTCAAATCTGTTTTATTGTCAATATATACCTGTTGTAAGCCAATATATCACATAAGTATAGCTTTTACAAAGGGAGGGATGCTTGTTTTCTTTTCTTTGGTTTAGTTCATTAAGTGAATTTTAGCTATTTAATAACGTGAAAGATTTTAAAGATTCAGGATTCCTCACCTTGGGTTCTCCAATGATCTGATTATGTTTTTTGAGAGGGTGGTTTTTTTTTTTTTATGAAAGATCCTAAAGTGCTTAGAAATTCTGGGTTCTCCTCCTGACAGTTTTCAGCCAAACATGATCAAGGAGAGGTCCAGGGGAGCAGGTGCTGGTTGGGCCCTGTAGTTCCAGCGCTTAAATGGGCCAACTCTGATGTATGGAACTCCTGAGGGACTAGCTCCTAAAATACTTGGGGGACCTTGTTGTACCAAGAATTGAACTGTGGTTGTCCCTGTGTAAGGCAAGCACCTTAGCCCCTACGTCTCCCCAGCTCCTACAATTATTTTTCTTTTCCTTTTTCCAACTGAGTCCCCTGGGTCAAACTCAGGGCTTCATACATGTGAGGTATCAGCTCTACCACGGAGCAACAGTCTAGACTGTCATTGGCAATTCAAGATGGTCCATGATTTGCTACATATATTTAAAAACATTTTTCAGCATGTTACTTGGCAGCATTGTAGAATATTTTTATGTTTTGCCATGTGAGTTTCGGTCTGAATTGTGAAGGCTTACTTATAAACAATTACTTTAACACTCTTATAAATAATGACCATTTTGTAAACAATGGAATTACTAATTTAAAAAGTGGGAACAAACTTCAAGGGTAGACATTATCACTTTTTGGGAAATGAGGGGAAAACAATCTGCTAGGGAAGAGAGAATTAACAATGTGAACAAAAAATTGTACTGGTGTGGACTGGCAAAATATGAGGTTCTAAAATATCTAGTTGTACTTATTTTATGTACAATCTTCAAATTTTTAATTGATACCCAGATATGGCTTTCTAAAATCAGTCTGTTGTACACAAGCAGTAAAGAATGTGGTATTTGTTGAGAATACCTTAGGCTTGGGCGTGGGAAATAGTATGGCAGTTGAGTGCCTGCCCTGTAAGTTTAAGGCCTTTAGATTTGATTGCCAGAGCAGAGCCCCGGCAGCTGAAGACCTCCAGCCACAGCCATGCTGAGACCACTCTCCACATGCTCAGACGAGCCTCATACATGACAGAGAAACCCAGGTGTGCGGGACCCGGAGCTGAGATCTCCAAGCCTGCCTCGTTCGGGACTGGGCCTCCTCCACCCAGATCCCCCGTCTTCCAGTAACTAGACAGTTAAACCCACCAACTGCCGTGTAACCCCATGAATGGCCAGGATACAGAGACTATAAAACCAAGCTCCCAGAAGCTTTGTCTTATTCTCTAATTCTCACTCTCAGAGAGCCTGGCAGGCTACTGAGAGTATCCTGCCCACATATATACCTGACCAGGAATGCCTGTAAAGGTGATTAGAGGCTGCCCCAAAAACCTTCATCCCTCTCGGAGAGCCTGGCAAACTACTGAGAATATCCCGCCCACACGGCAGAGCCTGGCTAGCTACCCGTGGCATACTTGGAAAGCCAAAAACAGTAACAATGATGGTCCTCATTCCCCTGACCCTGAAAGAGTCCCCAGTATGCCATTGGGCTACACTAGCAGTGACAGGGACGAGTGGAGACGTTACTGGCATCCGCTCGAGTAAATTGATGAACAGCGGGGTGATAGTGATAGTGATAGATTTGATTGGGGTAGTGTGAACCCAGTGGCCCGGTGTGCTGTTGGAAATGGCTGGTGTCCCCACCAAGTGTGCTTTCTCTGGTACACTGTAGCTATGGGTCAGCTTCGCAGTTCAAGTGTGCGGCTGCCAGTGAGCCTGATAACTGAAAGTGTGAGGTCCCAGTGATGACTGCAGCCAAGTTTGGGGAACCCTCCCACCTCCCCAGTTATCACAGCAACAAGTGGAAGGGAATGGAGGAAAATAAAAAACAAATGAATGGCTTCACATTTTATTTGCAACCACAGATGCTAATTCTACATAGATAAAAATGATTTTATTTCTCTTGAATTTAATCTCTTAGTTCTTAGGTCCTCAGTGTCAAGGACTTAAAATTGGGTTGTCTTTTCAACTCTTTCTTTCTTCCTCCTTCTTGGACTATTTACGAAAATACTGTTTCATAAAGCGAAAATAAGCATTTATATTCCTTGATATTTGGCCGCAAAACTCTGTTGGTTATTATTTACTGACTGCATAACTCCCATGATTCTCTGCAAAGTTCTGTGACTTGAGTGTTCATTAGGCTTGCTACTTTTGGAGGTGGGGAGAAGTGGGGGCAGCATCCATACATGGATATTCTCAGGTCACTCCTGGTGGTGCTCAGGGGACCAGATGGAATGACAGGGATCAAACCTGAGTTGGCTGCTTACACGCAAGCACCCCACCGCTGTACTGTCTCTCAGGCCCCACCTTTAAAAAATAATAATAAATGAACTGGCTTTGTTTTTGTTTGAGGGCCACACCATGCAGTGTTCAGTGCTTGCTTCCAGTTGGATATTGCTTCTGGCAGTTCTCAGGGGAGCTTGTGCTGCTGGGGAGCCAGGGAACTAAAGTGTTGCCTGCATGCAAAGCTTGAGGTCAGCCTGTTGAATCACCTGCTATGTTTTTGGTTTTTTGGTTTTAAATTATGTGGGTCATTTTTGAGATTCTGTAGCTGCTTTGTCTCATGAAAACATTATGCCAGTGCAGGGTTTCCTTTTGCTACCTGACCTCAGCAGAAAACCAAGTGAATCAACCATTTGGTAGAAAGAGATTGGGATTTGCAGAGCGCCTTTTTTAGCCTTGTGAATGTTTTTATTCCCAATTATTGAAGCCAGAAGTAGTGATGGAAAGGAGGCTCAGATGCTTTTTTTCTTCCATAAGCAAGGAGAAAAAACATTTGCTGATTTTAATCTGCGTTCCAGTGCCAACTGTGTAAACCTGGATATTTTTCCTTTGTGTTTACTTTTCTCCTTTACACAACATGAACTATTTAAGAGGACAGAAGATATGACTCCAGAGATGGAGCAACAGCAGAGTTAACACTTGGCCTTCTCTCTGTGCTAACTTGTAGTGACTCTGGAACCTGCTGCTAGTTACGAGACCATTCTGCAGGTTTGGGTTGGGGTTTTAGTTACCATGAAAAAAAATTAACCATGTGATTAATTTTTATTGGTATATTGGACCTGCAGATGTGTGTTACTTGAGATTTATATATGTTAATGGGGATTATAAAGCCATTTTAAATCAGAGAGGAAGCTTTAACCAAAAATTTAGAAATGTTTTTATGTTTCTCTTTGTGTTAATAGGCAGGCAGTTGTTAAAGGTTCCCTTCCACATCCTTTTGCTTTGACGTTATTTGAGGACACATTGTACTGGACTGACTGGAATACACACTCCATTTTGGCTTGCAACAAGTACACTGGCGAGGGTCTGCGTGAAATCCATTCTAACATCTTCTCTCCCATGGATATACATGCTTTCAGCCAGCAGAGGCAGCCAAATGGTAAGTGATCTTGATTTTCAGATTGCGTGTTGGAATCGCTTTGTAGCTATTTTGATGTCTGGCTTCAGTGGGAGACAAGAGGAGGGAGGACATATTCAAAGGTTGTAGGAGAGAATAAAAATAGGGAAAATATTAAAATATATTTTGGTTAAGCAGTAATCACTATAAGACACTTCATTCCTTTGTTGGGGGTTGGTATTATGGTATTATGAAGGTAAGGAGAGAGAAATAAAATTAGAAACTGAGGTAGCTCATTGATGTGCTATCGCTCCAGCCCTAGCTCATTGATATATGCTAATAATTTTATAGAAAATGCATTTCTTACTCATTATTTCTTCTAATGTGTTGTGTTCATGTGAGATTAGAAAGCAGATATTTTTCTTGAATGAAAAGCAATTGTTAGTCCTGCTGAAAAATTGAAGTATAGCACAGCGGGTAGGGCGTCTGCCTTGCACGCAGCCAACATGGCCGACCCGAGTTCGATTCCTCCGCCCCTCTCGGAGAGCCCGGCAAGCTACCGAGAGTATTCGATATGCCAGACACAGTAACAACAAAGTCTCCAATGGAGACGTTACTGGGCCCGCTTGAGCAAATTGATGATCAACGGGAGGGCCTTTACTTTTTTACTTTACTTCAGCTGAACGAATAAAATACCTCCCTAATCTGTATTGTGCATTACTTTAGTTTTACTAAACTTACTTTATTCCCTTAGTTTTGCTTCTATTTTCGGTAAGTCTTTACAGTGTCTTGGGCTGTGATTGCTGACGGCAACTTCTTATAAGGGAGTACTAGAATTAGGATTAACATGAGTACAAGAATGTTAAGTGTTTGGCACTTATGTGTAAATAAAATTCTGGTATGTGTTTGAGAATATTTCAGATTGTAGTCCTTAGCCAAAAAATAAAAGGGCTTTGGATTATGTATGGCTCTGTGTCCTTCTATTTGGGAGGAGAGAGATAGTCAAGTATAAATGAATACAATATATTAGAATCTGGGCTGGAGCAATAGCACAGCAGGTAGGGCGTTTGCCTTGCATGCAGCTGACCCGGGTTCGATTCCTTCGCCCCTCTTGGAGAGCCCAGCAAGCTCCCAAGAGTATCTCGCCCTCACGGCAAAGCCTGGCAAGCTACCCATGACATATTTGATATGCCAAAAATAGTAACAAGTCTCACAGTTTGTTGTGAGGCGTTATTGGTGCCCACTCGAGCAAATCAATGAACAACAGGAGGACAGCCCTACAGTGCAATGCTATATTAGAATCTGGTGATCATGTATCTTTAGTTGTATTTTTGTGTTACTCTTGTGTGAAAGAGAAAATATTTATTTCTTGTCTAAAGTTTTTGTTCTCATGCATATTCCTAGAAATATGGGAAAAACAAAATTTTAGGATTTTATTTTTCTTCCTTTTTAGATTCACTATGGATCATTTATCTTTCACTAAACTTTCAGTTATCTGTGACTTTAGTCTCTATTTCTCATCTTTCATATTTTATTGGTCTCTTTTTCTTAGTTATTTATTTATTTTTGGTTTGGGGGCCACACCCAGCAATGCTCAGGGATTACTTTCGGCTCTGTGCTCAGGAGTTCCTTCTGGCGGCTCAGGGGCCATATGGGGTGCTAGTGATAGAACCTGGGCAGGCCACATGCAAGGCACACTCCCTGCCTGTACTATTGCTCCAGACCCAACTTTATGATGATTTAAATTCGCCCTTTGCATAGTATAAATTGTACTAATTTATCTGTGTATCTCAAATTTCTCTCTCTCCTTTTTTTTTCCCCCTCTTTGGGTCACACCCAGCGATGCTCAGGAGTTACTCCTGGCTTTGCACTCAGGAATTACTCCTGGTGGTGCTCGGGGGACCCTTTGGGATGCTGGGAATCAAACCCGGCTCAGTCGCATGGAAGGCAAACGCCCTACCCACTATACTATTGCTCCAACACCAAATTTCTCTCTTTTAATCCAGTTTTTCTTCATAGTACTCTCTTCAAAGTAATTTTTCAGCATTCCTCCTATTTTTCTTGACTTTCAGTATCCTTTGTCAGTCTGTTCTTTCTTTGTGCTCATTCAGCTTTAGTCCTTGTTCATCATCAGAAACCTTAATCTCCCAGTTAGTCTGTGTGCCTTATGAACTTAGCGTACAACCTTCTGTGTACAAAATCTTCTATTCACATGCTTTGGTTTTGGTTTTTGAGCTACACCTGGCAGTGCTCAGGACTTACTCCTGGCCCTGTGTTCAGGGACAGGGTTCACTCATGTAGGTGCTCCAGAAACTACTCAGTGCCAGAGATTGAACTGGGGTCAGCTGTGTGCACGACAAGCACCTTACCCCAGATTACCTCTCTGGTCCCTTACACGTTTTTAGCACATTTCAAGTTTCCTAGTTTTTCTGTCTTTAAAGGCTGCTCTCATGTCTTCATCTTCCTTGAAATTTTTCCACTGTGATTTGATTCCTGTTTGACTTTTTACTTAAGGTGTATAATATAGAAGAGAAAATTTGGTTTTGTTATTTTTTTGAATATTTCAGTAGGGCATACTGGCCAGAATCTCTCAATCCTTTTCTCCCTCCCTTTTTCCTTTTTAAAGGACAGAGATCTCTGCTTTATTTCTTGTGTATTACTCTTTGGATACAAAAATATTAAGTAAATTCCTACTGATTAAATTCCCTTTCTTGCAGATGGTTTGGTTGTTAAGCACCTGAATGACATTTGGTAATAATTTAGTTTATCACAGCTGCTCATGTTAGGATTGTTGACCTTTGTGTACCAGGGTTAGGGGGTCATTCCTAGTCATTGGTATTAATCAGTGTGATTTATATTTGACAGCTACAAATCCATGTGGAAATGATAATGGTGGTTGTTCCCACTTGTGTTTGATGTCTCCAGTCAAGCCTTTCTATCAGTGTGCTTGTCCAACGGGGGTCAGACTTCTAGAGAATGGAAAAACCTGCAAAGATGGTAAGAAGATGGTATCTGACAAGGAAAAACTCTAGATAGCAACTAACATTCTTTATGGCACATTTTATTTCTCTATAATAAGCTCAGTAGGTCTGTGAGTACTTTGGGAGATCAGTTAATATTACAATAATTAAAGGTTACAGTGAAAGGTATTTTTTAAACGCCATTGCTGGAATGTTTCATAAATTATTTCGGTATTTAAATATTTTAACATGTTTTATAAAACGATTTGGTCCTGTTTCATTTCTTTGAGGCAGTCCTTTTTAGGAATACATTTTTAGCAGTAGGTAGAAATAACTATTTCTATACTTAACAATTACACTGTCTCTTGTCCTTACCTTGTTAATTCTCTATAGAGCATGCATAGTGGAGGAGTTTCTTGATGTAGAACATTCAAGGGATTTCTAGTTTGGGAATATATTTGTTGTCTGTTCGTGATAGTGTGTCCTCCCCATATTTGTTCCTCCCTCACCCCCTCACCCCCCCCCCCCCCCCCGTTACAAAGTCATTTGTGATTGGGTTTTGGGTTTTGGCATACATTATTTCAGTGTTGATCTCACCAGCATTGCCCCAGCCTATCTCCAACATTTAAGTGGCATATTTCCTACTGAATATCACTTCTCATCTTCTTTGTTTTCATTGTATTTTATTTGGTATTTTACCATTATGTGTCTTTATACATGTGAGAGAGTGCGTTCTGTGTAGTTCTCTCCCCCCTGACTAACTTCACTCAGCATGATACTGTCCAGGTCCCTCCTTATAGCTGCAAATTTCATGACTTTTCTTATGGGTGAGTAATATTCCTTTGTGTGTATGTACCATAGTTCCTTTATCCCGCCATCTATTCTTGGACATTTGGGTTTCCAGATTTTGTCTTTTGTGAAAAGGCACATGAGAAAAGTGCTTTGTACCACTAATAATCAGGGAGATGCAAGTTCAAAACAACAGTGAAATATTACCTCACAATTCAGAAACTGACTCACATTGGGGCTGGATCAATAGCACAGCGGGTAGGGCGTTTGCCTTCCACACGGCCGGCCCATGTTTGATTCCCCGCATCCCATATGGTTCTCTGAGAACCGCCAGGAGTGATTCCTGAGTGCAAAGCCAGGTGTAACCCCTGAACATCTCCGGGTGTGACCCAAAAAGCAGAAACTGACACACATTAAAAAGAACAAGAATAAAAATCAGTCCTGGTATGGATGAGGGGAAAACGGGATTTTCATTCACTGCTGGTGGGAATGTTGATTGGTCTTTCTGGAAAACAATATGGATATTCCTAAAAAATTTAGGAACTGAGCTTCCATTTGGCCCAGCAATCCCACTTCTCAGAATCTACCCAGTGGGTCCAAGAACAAAGTGGAGAAAAGACATTTCCACCCCTATAATCCTTGCGCCACTATCCACAATAACCAAAATCTGGAATTAACCCTTATGTCTAAAAATAGGTGACTGGATATTTTTTATTCTTGGCACAATGAATCTCCATCTTACTTTTAACCACCAGCAAGACCTGGTAAGAAAATTGTATTTAGCAGTGACTTCTTTATCTGACTCTGAAAAGCAAAAGCAGGTTAAAGATTTCTGACAGGGGGTTTAGGGAATCAGAGAGATGGTATTGAGTCTGTGTATAGGGTATTTGTCATGACTTGGCATTGATAAATTATCCACATGGTCAAAGGTGAAGTTGGCTGACTCTTGTCAGATGGTTTCCATGGCAAACAATAATTTGGTTTCAATTTAAGACAAAGGGTTTTTGTAAGGTTGCTTTTTTGTTTAAAAATGTATCCTGACTTTAAATCACAGGATTTATTTTAGCAAAGTGGTTTGACTGCTCTCTTACAACAGTGGAAATGAGCATGTTTAACTAGTATTTTGAATTTCAGATACATGTTTGGCTTCTGAATAGCCTTAAGTTAAGGGTTCTGTTTTGATCAGCTTGTTTAGTTTAATAACTTCACTTGTTTGTTTGCATAGTTTTGGAAGTTAAAAGGAGAGATAAATTGTTAAAAGTTATTCCTATATGATGCTTTCTGTGGGATTTAGGGATGTATTTTCTCCAAGATATAATTAATTTATATGTAGTTCAAGAGCCAAGTAACCCGTAGTGAGAGTTTTATGTCTCTATTCTATACGGAGCATAGAATCAGTTACCCCTGAGCACTGCAGGGTGTGGCCCAACCTCCCCTCCCCACCTCCTCCAAAAAAGAAATTTTGAGTGACAATACAATAATTTTAGTAAATTTATAGAGTTGTACAATCTTCATAATTGTTTTAAAACTTTCTCATAATTCATAAAAGATCCTTGTCCTAAATTTCTTTATTTTTTTTAATTGAGCAAAGGATTACTATATTTTATGTCTGTTTCTTCCTTCAGTATTTAGCTACCTAGGCTTCTTAATTACTATTGTAGTTATTAATCATTATACCTTTAATTGAAAGAAGTACAATAATGGGTTTATCCAGAGTGAATCAAAACTTTATTTTTAGGGCCCAGTCATTGTAGTTTGACCTCATAGTGCATTTGTTCTACTGCAGTACATTATTTTCCATTTCTTACATAAATAGACTCTAGTGTCCTGTGCTTTGTTTTTTGATTTGGGGCTACAATGTGCAGTGCTTGGAGATAGCTTCTTGGCAGCTCAGGGGACCACTCAAACCTTGGGCTCCTTTATACAAAGCATGTGAGATAGTACTTTGAGCTATCTTTCACCCACCTAGTATCTTTTTATACTCATTTACTTTTCAGTTCCTGAAGTTTTGCATTCTTTATTTGGAGTGATTAAATTTTGCTTGTAGGTTTCAATTTTTTCTTCAGTTTTTCACTCTCTTATTCTAGGCGCCACTGAATTACTGCTTTTAGCCCGAAGGACAGACTTGAGACGCATTTCCTTGGATACACCAGATTTCACAGACATTGTTCTGCAGTTAGAAGACATTCGTCATGCCATTGCCATAGATTATGATCCTGTAGAAGGCTACATCTACTGGACTGACGATGAAGTGAGGGCCATACGCCGCTCATTCATAGATGGATCTGGAAGTCAGTTTGTGGTCACTGCTCAGATTGCTCATCCAGACGGGATTGCCGTTGACTGGGTAGCCCGAAATCTTTATTGGACAGACACTGGCACTGATCGAATAGAAGTGACGAGACTCAATGGGACCATGAGGAAGATCTTGATTTCAGAGGACTTAGAGGAACCCCGAGCCATTGTGTTAGATCCTATGATTGGGTAAGATGGTGTGCTGATAGAAAACTTTGCTGGCTGTTTCTGTGTTCTGTAGGTCTCTAAAAAACAGACAAAAACTAGTTGAAGAATGTGTTATTTTCAGGTCATTTAATTCTTTGATGACTGCTCAGTTTGAGAATATAGTGAATGGATTAAAGTTTCAAGTTAAGAAATTGTTAGTGTGTTTTCCATGAATATTATGCATATTTTTTTCCTTTCTAAAATAAGTCTATGCTTGCTCACTTTGGGTGTTGTCTGCAGATTTTGCCCAGGTTGCATCATGAGAGTGAAAAATGTGGAAAGAAACTGTTTTCAGAAACTCTTCCCATAGAAGATTTATTTTCCACCCCACTTTAGTACTTTTGGATTGTAAATCTTACCATATATTTCTCCAGATACATGAATGGCCAGATTTTCGAAATTTGGGCAGGCCTTGCAACTTTTACTTCTGGTCTTATTTTAAAGCCATACTGCCTGACCACAGTGCAGGAAAATATAACTAAGTACTCAGCAATATTATTTGTTACTATGAGATTTATTCTGAGATTGAACATAGTGGTACATTATTACAGTTCTATATATACAAGGTAAAGGTAAAGGCCCTCCTGTTGTTCATCGATTTGCTCGAGCGGGCCCAGTAACGTCTCCATTGGAGACTTTGTTGTTACTGTGTTTGGCATATCGAATACGCCAAATACCTTAGAGCTACTTAAATTGTAAGGAAGTTAGTTTGGGAGTTAGTTTGTTATCTGAATAAGCTACTGGGATAATCTTTTTGTGTCAGAGGTGGCAGACCTCTAGAAAAAGAACAGACTGTTAGTAGAAAGAATCACAAAGTATAGTGGAGAAGAGAGTTCAAAATGGGCCTCATTATTGGAAGTTATTTATAGAGTAAGTTTCAGAATACACACTGATCTAAAAATTTCCTGTAGGTTTCTTTATAATAAATTGTACATATAAACATCTATATAATCTTATTTAATAAATGTCTTAAAACATATTGATGGTATTTTTTTTTTAATTTTTGGGTCACACCCGGCGATGCACAGGGGTTTACTCCTGGCTCTGCACTCAGGAATTACTCCTGGTGGTGCTCAGGGAACCATATGGTTTACTGGGAATCAAACTCGGGTCGGCCATGTGCAAGGCAAATGCCCTACCCACTGTGCTATCACTCCAGCCCCTACTGATGGTATATTTAAATTGTACATTTTTTACTTTTTTTGTGGTGCTCACTTATAGATAACTAGTGTAATATGAGAGGTATTTCAACTTTTGGAAGTGTGGAAATTGCAGTTTATTACCTATTTTTAGCTTATTTTCTGTGTACTTCTTTAGGTACATGTATTGGACTGACTGGGGAGAAATCCCAAAAATCGAGCGAGCAGCTCTGGACGGTTCTGACCGAGTAGTGTTGGTAAACACTTCTCTTGGTTGGCCAAATGGATTAGCCTTGGATTATGATGAAGGCAAAATATACTGGGGAGATGCCAAAACAGACAAAATTGAGGTTTGTTTCTTGCATTTTCATTTTAAAATCAATCTATGATGGTGTTTGTGTTGATGGTAATTTGATGTGGATCTTCTTGCCTCTCTAAGTTGTCTGGTGTTCAAAGGTAGCTTTTGTAGACATTGTACTCAACTTTCAGAAGTCTGGGTTCTATTTAAATCCACTGCCTACATTTTCTGGGAACACTTTACAAACTAATGAACTGTTACATAAAATCTCTGCTGGAATAGGTAACGATTGTATAGAAAAATAAGAGCCAGTATGTGTATATGTAACTTTTTTTGGTTATTAGTGCTTATAATAATACGATTACATGTGAACAAAAGTTTTCCATTTATTTTCATTATTCTTGAATTAAGGTGATGTTAGCTTATAACATTGAGTAAGTTTCAAATATACTTCCTATGTTGCAAAAAAATGTTAATCTGTGAGCTCTCTGGAAGAAAAGAAGGATCAGTCAACCAAAGCTTGGGATGGAATATTTACTAACTGAGAGAATTTAGTTGTGGTGATTAGAAAAGAGTTATAATGGCAGCAGCCAGTGGTAAATATTATCTCAGTGTTTCATAACTGGCAGATGTCTTTGATATTGGTTGTGCAAATTTCACAACTTTGAATTCAATTCTGTTAGCAGACTTAAGGATCACGTACTCAAGTTTCCACTGCAATTTTTTTGAGGAGTAAGTATACATGACTTTTTGTAAAAGGAATGGCTCTAAATCGCTCTTGCAAACTACAGCATATATTTTCTAATCAATGAATAATAGAGGTTCTGGAGTTGTTATTTTAGGAAGGTAATTCATAGGCTTCTTGGGGACTCTTAGGGAATAGTGTATTGAAGGGCCTTCCTTTCAGAATGGAAACTTGGAGTAAGAGAAACCTGTTAGTATTCCAGCCTCATTGAAAACTGCATTTCTTTTTTCTTGCAGCTGGTTTCCATTATTAGAAAATATTGCATAGACTTAACTATAAATATTTTTCCTTTTTTGGGGCTTTAGTGCCCCCTTTCTTAAGCCCTAGATAATGTGTCTCTCTCCAATATCTAGAATGCAGAGCTGATGAGACAAAGAAAGTTGGTTTACTTTTTAGAGGCTCTTACCTTCACATGGATCAGCTTGTGTATAAATGACTTACTCATTTTCAGTCAGATCTTAAATGTGTCTTTTTGTTCAGCTGTGTATGTGATTATATAGATTGCAGTAAAAACAGAAGATCACATGTCCTAGAACGTCTGTGATGAGGAGAGAACATAATCCTGACAGTGGGGAAGGAACTTGATTGATTATTTTGTTGGCTTTTAAAAATGGCTTGTTTTTGGTCTTTTTCTTAGTGTGTTCTGACTGATTCATTTGAAAATCTGTCTGAGATTTGTTTGAGCACTGAGCTATCAGGTCATCTCTGCACTACTGTACCTCCTGAGCATGAACCCTATTAAACCAAAACAAAACAGAAAACAGTTCTTACTGGGGAGTTTTAGCTTTTAACACTGAACTTTATTCAAAATATGTTCAGGAAGGATTCAGAGATAAAATGGAGGTTCTGAGTGACAGAGTTTAAGAATGGAAAAGAATATACATTCTATAATTATAACAACAGGATGATTGCTTAAGTAGGGTTTGTAGGTTTGCAGCAAGTACAGTAGACCTTAAGACTAATACTCGTTCTGGCCTCTTCTGTCTTCTTGAGGTATACATGTATGAATACAGGTGCCATTTTCTCCTGTGCTTTGCTTCTTTCTTTCCTTCACATAGTAGTACACACGTCTTAGACCTACTTCTTTTTGTTTATTTGGGGGCCGCTCCCAGTGATGCTCAGAGTTTTTTTCTGGTTCTGGGGGTGCTGGGGATTGGACCTGGGTTTGCCAAGTGCAAGACAAGCACCTTTCTCACTGAACTGTCTCTCCAGCCCCACCTAGACCTACTTCTACCAAATTATTCACAAGGTCTGTTACTATTTCCCTGCAGATTCTGATTAAGTTTCCCTAATTGAGCATGATTGCTTTTGTATCACTCTTTTTGTAGATGAATCCGGGAAATAGGGAGAGCAGACATTATTATTTATTAACTTTTATAACTTGCTGGTATAAGGCAAGCTCAGGAAAGACACAGCTCTTCATCTGAGTCAGTTTGGCATAATTAGAGGAGAAAACTGTTAGTTTCTCTCTCCGAGACTAGAGTGATTTATGACGATACCAGCAGTTGTCACCAGCAGCTTTCTGCTTACTGCATGATAGGTAAATCTTAGTGAAATTGAAAACTTTTGAGTTTTTTTCAATTTTAGAGTTGCTTATTTTTCTAAGATTTTTTTTGCTACCCTCTTGTTTTGAGCAGTTGTTCCCGGGAACTGATGTTACTCTAGTGTAATCATATGCTCCCCTCTGCTTCCATTCTCCTAAAAAAAGCTTTTTTGGTATTTTTATGACCTGGAATGACAAGCACTACTTTTCTTGGGTTTGCAAGAAACTATCAGATATCCTTACAGTAACCTTATCCTCATTTGGAAAATTTAGGCATTCCAAGAAGGAGGTCTTCAGAGTAGGAAGACTGGAGGTTCCGATTGCCCTACATGTGTGTGTTGTGCATTTGAGAAGAAAAGATTGCTTATTTGGTAGTTGTAGTAATAAGGATAGTAAGATCCTGTGTTTAGAACTTTACTTTATGGGAAGAGCTCTGAATGTTTCCTCGGCTGGGTTTAAGGTTTAGTAAACATGAAAAAAGATTATGAAGATCTTTGGATTTAATGCTCAATTTTTATTTACAGAATTGATAGGTTAACCTGAGGCTTTTGATCAGTTTTTGCAAAGGGGGAATGTGGACATGTCATATTTTTATAAAGGGCCAGCTGGAGAGATAGTATGCAGTCACCCAAATTTAATCCTTGGCACCCCATATAGTACCCTGAGCACTGCCAGAAGTGAGCCCTGAACACAACTGGGTGTTGTCTCCCCAAAATTAAAAGTAAGAGCAATACTGGTTTAAGTATAAGAATATATCTGTGAAGATGAGTCTGCCCTACTTATCAGCTGGAAGTGGACCTCTTATCTCCAGGTTTTGCTCAGAGGGTACATGTCGATACTTGCAGCTTGCGTATGTTTCTTCTTCAGTAAACTGAAATCATTTCATCACCTTTTGCAAACAAGCTTCTTGTTTGCTCGCCTACACTGGGCTCCCCCACCCAAATGTTGGTTACTGAGGTGTTCTGGGACCTCCCATTAATAAATACTAAAGCTTTAGCAGAGAGGATCATTTCTGTTTTTCTGTAGGGGGGACATTTAAGCCAGCTCTTGTTTCTACTTTATGATTTTGTAGTAGAGGAAAGCACATTTAATCTTGACATTTCAGTTTTTCTTGGTAAGTTTTCACTGCCAAAAACCTCTTTTGTACTGAGGGCCTGAAGTGCCTATTACTGATAGCAAAAACAAATAAGTATATAATTTATAAATTTTCAGAGTATTTTCTTGTCACCACATAAAGTTTGTGTATTTTTTCCATTTTATCTATTTTGTGATACTAGGGATTAAACTCATGCAAGGCAAATGGTCTCTTACTGAGTTACATACCCAGCCCACAGTGGACTGTTAACTTATATTTTTGGAGGTTACTTTTTTTTTTCCATAAAAGTAATCTTTATATAATTTTTTTAAAAAATTACTTTTTTATACTAGTTCAGCTACTTGACAGAAATTAATTTGCTTTGAATTACAGAATTTAAGAAAATATGTTGTCCTAGCTAAAATTTCTCACAATTCTTTCACTTGTATTTTAAAATTTTTTCCCCTGCTTTTGAGATTCTGCTGGCAAAGGCCGTAGCACCTGGTTGTTACAGGCAAAAAGCGGTATTTTCTGGTCTTCTTGAAGTGCTCGTAGGTCTGTTTTCAATCTTTCTTACTGTAAATTTTCCTACATTCAGAGAATGTAATTTCCATAGGTAGTTTCATCCAAATCTAATTATACTAGCCACAACTTTTTTTGGGAAATAGAAACAGATTATTAAAACCTTGAGTACCAAGAAATTTTGAATAGAGAATATTGTGTAAGCTGTGTGCTGAGAACTTGGCATTTGATAAATGTTCTGTTTCATATTCTAAGCCTAAAATTGCAGGGTTATATTTTTCTCTAAAAGCTTCCCCTACTTTATCAATACCCTAGTAAAGAAATTTGTTCTCTAAATATTTAGATTTATTTTTAAAGTCTTTGTCCGGCATCTTCATCTGTGTATTTTGAAAATCTGCTAAGACACACAGGGCCTTGTTTTTGTTTGTTTGTTTTTTGTTGTTTTTCTTGTTTGTAAGATTAAGTCCTTAGGAAATTATAATAGGGAGAGGGAGATGGCTCAAAGGGTGGGAGTTCTTGCTTTTGCATGCAAGAGGACCCGGGTTCCATCCTTGGTGTCCCTTGATCACTAAGATGAGCAACTGCTGAGCACTTCTGGGTATGAGTCTAAAACACCACCACCAAAAAAAATAACAGTCAGTGTACACAACTCCCCATAGCCACTGTCAACCCCTTCTATCCTATCATACTCTCTGGGAGTGGCCTTTGCCACTTGATAACATTTATCATTCCTAACCCCCACCCCCACCCCCACCCCACCTCTGGGTTATTTCTGTCTCTGCACTCAGTAGTTACTCCTGGTTGGGATCCACATGGGATGCTGGGGATCAACCCTAGGTCAGCCACGGGCAAGGCAAGTGCCAGTCCCACATTTGTCATTTCTTAAAATTGGTTCTACTTCCAATTGTAGAGCAAATTTAAACTACAAACTTAAATATCTTTGTCTATTTTCCTTTTTTTGTTTTTTTGTTTTTTGTTTGGTGCTAGGCCTCATACATGAGCCCTGTATGCTTGACTCTTCATTTCTACTGCAGCATCTCACTCAGTGTATGCAAATATGTATTCTCCCCACAGTAAAAATGATACTAATTTAAAAAAAAAACTCATGTATTCAGTTCTTCAGCACAACAGCATTCCTAGGTTTGGAGTCTATATTCACTGAGAAGT